CTGCTAATTATAAATGAGTTTAGTTGATTTATATATACATATATATTGACGATGTTACGTACGTTTGTTTGTTGGTTTGATTTCTTTAGACTCTATCTGGCATTCATCCATGGTACTTGCAGCTAATTAGGGATTTGAATTTTACTTTTTTTTTTTTACAAGTTAAGATCATCAACAGCTGATTGAGGAATTTCTTTTTTTTTTCAACATTTACTGCTTGATCAGCTGATCAATCATGTCCTGAAACCAACTACCCATTTCAACTTAAGGTTACGACTTACCTGGGATGACTTTAAAAAACCATTATTAAACTTCTTATGTTCTAACGGCTATTATTAATTTAATTATTATTCATTAAAAAATAATAATAATAAGTAAATGACTATGGTTAATATGTTAATAATATTATATGGTAATTTAAGAATGCCAAACCCTCTTGTATTACACAAGCCTAGGTTTTCATCCAAAGTTAAAATATTGTTTCAAAAAAGACTTTGAGATATTATAACTTGTCGCCGCTAAGACAGATAAAATATTAGTTAACCTATATGTGGGTAACCCATATAGTTAAAGTGAATTGAAGATAGTATAAATAGACACACGACCTCATATTTGATTTCCTATTTAAGTATTTGCGATTTAATAATAATAAAAAATAAAACATTAACTATCTCTTTGGGAAGAATTTTTATTTTTGTTGTACTTTAACCAAACCTAAATCTTCGATCTTAAGGTTTATGGTAGATGGTAAGATTAACTATCAAACTCAAGAGACTTGAAAGGTTAATTTAAGTGGATTAATCACTCCTGTTGATCAAATTACAAATAAGCTGTGTCATATATCTTTTTATGTAGTTTTCAATGATTGCTAAATTTCAAACCGAACATGGCCGCCGACTACCACTACCTCCCTCAGAATCAAACAGCAATATTATTTTTCATTTTCAATTGTAATTAAGAGGTTCAGTGGATGTTGGTGTGAGAGTGCCCCAACAGCATTATCATCCACCAAGTCATATATCCCAGCATCCAATCCAGAGTGATCATCACGAACTTCATCAAAAGCATCATCAGTAAAATAAACACAATTCTTTTTACACCAGCAAACTCTTTAGCTGAAATAGAGAACGAATAATCCGATAATCAAGCAAACTCAAGGACACTGAAATCCGCTTAACTCGTCACCTTTCTCAACGTCAACTAACACAAGTCCGAACACTTTAGTCAATTCCTTGACCTGATAATCCAGCAAATTCAAGGACCTGGGTAACTTCTTGGGCAACTTTTTTATAGGAAACCTATAAAACGGGTCCAGGACTTGAACTTTTTCAGAGCTTGACTCCTTGACTCGGACTACCCACGTTTTGGAGGTTTTGTAAGTGTTGGAGATTTTGGTAAGGGGTTGAATGGCGTAAACGGTGGACTGAGTGAGCATAAATTTTGTGTTGAGGATAGGGTTTGGGTTGATAGGGCTTGGGCGACATGGGGGGAAGGGAACCTTGAGACTAGCAAGTGTAGAAATGGGTTTTGGAAGGGGTGGGACTGAGCGCAGAAATGAATGGCTAACGGCGCGAAAACAGAGGAGATCGATTCGTGTGGGGAGGCGTTCGGCGATTAAGAGGAGTACAAGGTTTGGGAGACTTACCCAATTGACTGTGGTCGTGGTCGTGTTTATGTCCATGGTTGGGAAAGAAATGAAACCGTACCCGTAATTCCGAGGATTCTAACTGAAGAAGACGAAGAGGTTTTATCATAAACTGAGTTTGGTGAGTGGTTTTACATTCTGAAACCGAAAATCCCCAGATTCTAGCTTTACATTGTGACCTGCGCAAAGCCATAATTGGCCCAATGTGGGTTCGGGCTGTGCACCCAATAGGCGCCCAATTAGAAAAGATTGGCCCACTAAGTTGTTAGCTTACATTCACATCTGAAATAGGATCCACGTTTACATTTTTTGACTTGCTGAAATGCAGAATTTTTCGGAATCAGATTTGACGGCTGAAAGCCTGAAATGTTGCATTTTTTACTAGTTAAAACACCACCCTTAACGAACTGATTGCAGTGAAATGGAAGGTATAATTTTGTATATCCCTCTTGCTAGGCAGCAGTTTGTATTGAATTATCTCCATGTTAAAAAGTATATTGTCTTTGACATGCTTGTGAACTTATACAGAGAAAAGCTAAAACGAGTTAAAGAAAGTCTGAAATGAGTTTAAGAGAGAGAACGAAACTGTCTTTGTTACTGAAATTTTTTCTTGTTACAAATTAAAGAGGAACAACAAACAACTGTTCCTTTTATATAGCACTTATACAGAGTAAAGAGTAAAGTAAGTGAGCTGAAACTTTCTACTTAAAACGACACCACTTTGGCCTATTATCAAAATCATCCAAAGACTTAACAACTTGGCACTTTCATCCTCTTATATCAACATCTCCCCTCAAACCAAACCTGGTTTAGGGTCTTCACTCCCAGTTTCAGATCATCAGCAAAAAAAAACTCAATTCTGATTCTTCACTGTCAACTTTAGTTCACAATATAGCAGCTCAACTGAGATTCCAAAATTTCAGCTTAATCAGCTTAATTCTGATACTTCTAAAATTTCAGCATCAGCTTAATTCTGATTTCTAAAAGTTCAGCTTAATCAGCTTAATTCTGATTCTGATCCTGTACTGCCAAATTCACAACATATTCAAATTCTGCACTACTAAATTCACAACATATTTAAATTTTGCACTACTAAGCTTCATTAACAGTCACTCCATCAACATATTCAAATTCACAACATATTCACTGCCAGATTCACAATGCACTACCAAGCTTCATCAACAGTCACTCCATCAATCATTCATTAACATTATCAACCAGTAGAATGTATCAGCTAGCAGAATTAGAACAATTCATTAGCAATTTCTGCCAAATTCATCAATATTCACTTCACCAACATGCATTATCGTGGCAACCATTAGTAAAAGAAAATGCACAAAAGAAATTAGGTTCACCAACTCTGATTAGAAATTTGCACTACCAGTTGTAGACTTAATACCAAACCTGGTTTTGAGTCAACATTTCCAGTTTCAGTTATCAACAAAAAACTCATAGTACAATCCTAATCAGAGTTACCAACTCTTGCACTGTAAACCTATCAACACAGCAGCACAATCTTCATTCATAACACATTCTGCACTGCCAAATTCATAACCCATTCTGCACTGCCAAATTTTCAACACAGTAGCAACACTTCAAAAAAAAATCCGCTTCAGCTTGCCAAATTCATAGCACACTCTGCCAAAGTCATAACAGATTGGCCAAATTCTTTACTGCCAAAATGAGTTATAAGTAACTCCACCAATATTCAATCATCAGAACTTCACCAAAAAAAAAAAAAAAACTTTCATCAACCTTCACTTCAGCAACACTCATTAATATTGTCAAAACAAAAAAAAAAAAAAAAAAAAAAAAAAAACCATCTAGCAGTTTTTTAAAAAAATCACCAAAAACTGACTAGAAATCTGTACTACCAGTTGCAAACTTAATCAGTAAAAAAAATTCAGAAATCAGTAACCAACCAGAACTCAAACCTGGCATTATCAAATTGCTTCAGAACTAGTAACCAGAACTCAACCTGGCATCATCAAATTGCTTCAGAACCAGTAACCAGAACTCAACACTGGCACCATCAAGGACTGCCATTTTTCAGTAACCAGAATTAACACTGGAAACGACACTTTTCCACCTATCAAGTTTCAAATGACACTTTCCCACCCTTCGTTAGGTTTTGTTATGTTTCCTGTTAATATTTTACTAAAAAGACGAAAATAACCCTTTACTATTTTACTTTATAATTTTTTTATTATTTTTTAATTAGTTAAAAAATCAAAAAAGAAAAAATAGTTAGCCCTACTTAAAAAGTTAAGAGTAATGCTATGAAATTTTGTTTAAAATTAAATGACTTTAATATTTATTTATTTATAATGCCATCAATATCTCATCACTATTATTTAATAATATATTAAATTTATAATGTTTTTCATTTTTACTAATTAACATAAAAAATTAATATTCCTAATTAATTAAATAAACAAAGGAAAAAATGTATCTTTACACTTGGACTAATAAATAATCAAATAAAGACTTTGACTTAACTAAATTTTAATTTATAATAAACTAATTAAGAAATGAACTATTTAAGGTTGTTTTCGTCTTTTCAGTCAAATATTAACAGAAAATACTAAAAGAATCTAACGAAGGGTGGAAAAGTATCATTTTGAAACTTGACGGGTGTGAAAGTGTCGTTTTGTCAAACCTTGGGTGGGAAAATGTCTTCTCCCTATAATTAGCTATCAAACATCAGTAATATTGGCTCTTTTTCAACTTAGCCGTAGACTATATGAATATAATTTTCCGAGTAATTGTGTTGACTGGAGATCACGATCGTCTTCCCTGACAAATAAGTTGAACAGATTTTAATTTCAGCACAGTTTCATACTTAAAAGATATATCTATTTTTCATGCTTCAGTCTCGCCCCCATAAACTAATATTAGCTCTCGGGGGACACGTGTTAAGACAACGCTTGCAGCTGTATTGTGTGCTTAGCTGGCAGCTGGCGCACAATGGCGTTGGCATCCATCCTTCATTTCCCGTCTCGGTAACTAAACGATCGCTAGCTGTTAATATCCCTAATAAATTACCATAATATCACTGCTAGGATCTTTAAGACTTTAACAAACATTTTCACCAAACCAAAAAACTATCTAATGGGCCTAATGGTAACATTGTAATTAATAAAAAAACGAGACCTAAAATTTGGATTGCCTTCTTGAATTCTCCTTCAAACCGCCAAAACAGAAAACACACACTTCGTACTTTCTATTTCTCTCAAGTTGAGTGAGTGACTCAGTCACTCCCTCTATCGGGTACCTGAAATTGTCTCTCTCTCCCTCTCTCTACAGCCAAACACCAATAAAAACTTCGAAGGTAATCTCTTGCTACTAATTTAGAATGTCGAAGATGCAACGAGATTTCTTAAATGATGCAAAGGAAGCAGAGGCTGCTCCTCCACCGGCACTGACGAACTCTTTCTCAGCTGTTGACGGAGATTGTCCAGAAGAAAAGAGTTTGTCTGACAACGAACCTAAATTAGTGGCGTCTTCACCTGGAAGAAAGGAGCACTCATCAATTTTTGACTCCACAACGGATGATCTATCGGAAGTCACTTCAGTGGACTTGACGATTTCTGAGAAATCTTCGACGGATTTTATAGTCATTGAAACTTCAAAATGCATTGTAGAACCTAAAGAAAATGATTCAGAATCTTTGGAAGATGGAGAATCTATAAAGAAAGATAGCTCTGAATCCGGAGAGATAGTGAAGCCAGAGAAGGTGCAGAAGATGGTGAGATTGCAGAGCAACGATAACATGTCCGATAACGTGAATCTGCCAAAGGCAATGTCGTTAAAGCCGTGTCCGAGTGTTGGCACGAGCCTTGAAATATATGATTATGTGATGAGATCGAACGGTGGTGGTGGAGAGAATAATGGTGCCGCGATGATGGAAGAGGCATGGGAGAGACTGAAGAAATCTTACGTCTACTTCAAAGGAAAGCCTGTGGGGACATTCGCTGCAATGGATCCTATGGCCGAGGCTTTGAACTACAATCAGGTTAATCTACTTGTGTTTTCAATATATTTCTTTCTGTTCATCCTATATGAAGGTGTGATTAAGAGTATTTTTCAGAAAATATTGAACAAATTAAACCAATAAAAGCATGTTACGAGTTCATTATTAGACCTTTTTCTACCTTTTTTTTCTTTTCTAAATCAGACTTCTACCTATATACCAAACTACAAACACAAATTACATGATTGTTGGTTTTGATTTGTATTTAATTTGGTACAACTTTATTTATAAGTTTCCTTTGATTATTGTCGATTTTCTCATGAAAAAAATCATATATGTCATTGTGATTTGTAATTCTAGATCTGTGTTAGATCTTAATATTTAAATATGATCAGGAAACACTTATAAATTGCCTTTTTCTCTTCTAAAAAAATTCTTCCCATACTTGGTGGATAGATATGTGTCTAATTACGGCCGTTTGAGCAACTTTTTTTTTTATCTATTTAACGTTTTGATTAAACTCTGCCAATCAATGGTAATAATCTATTCCTATTCCTATACATGTTCAGGTTTTTGTGAGAGATTTTGTTCCAACTGGCTTAGCTTGCCTGATGAGGGATCCTGCAGAACCTGAGATTGTAAAGAACTTCCTATTGAAGACCCTTCACCTCCAAGGTTGGGAGAAAAGGATTGATAACTTTACCCTTGGAGAAGGTGTGATGCCCGCAAGTTTTAAGGTACTCTCTAACTCGCATCAGCAAAAGGAGACCTTGATTGCGGATTTTGGTGGTAGTGCCATAGGAAGAGTAGCGCCTGTGGATTCTGGCTTTTGGTGGATTATACTGCTAAGGTCATATACCAAGTGCACTGGTGATTATACACTAGCAGAACGGCCTGAGGTGCAGAGAGGAATGAAGTTGATTCTCAACCTTTGTCTCTCAGATGGCTTTGACACTTTCCCTACACTTTTGTGTGCAGATGGATGTAGCATGATTGACAGGAGAATGGTGAGTCTTTTTAGTTATATAGTCTCGCAAGAATATGAAGTTAAAAAAGATGCGTGTAAAAAATAAAAAATTGCTAATTGTTCAAATATTTTTAGTCCTTTAGTTTGCTGTTTTGACCCAATGTCAGCCGAGTCCTATTTCTTTGGTGCTGCCTGAAGTTGTTGAACAAGGGAGTTGGCATGGGTAGCAGCTCCTCTCTTTTGGAGCCATCTTTATCAGTTTATCTGTCCCTTTAATATATATGATTGGAACGTTGAGTGCAGCTTGTTATATTTTCCTGATAAACAATGACAGCTAGCTTATATATGGTTCAAAATTATCAGCTAATTGAAAGACATCCATATACAGTACTATGTTCGAGCTGAACGCCTGCTGATTGCCTAATGGGGACCCTCTGTGAAGTTGATAGCTGGCATACTTAAGTCTTTTTGTTCAACTGGATTGAAAATTTGGCTTGTTTTTATGACAGGGAATATATGGGTATCCAATTGAGATCCAGGCTCTCTTCTATTTTGCACTGAGGTGTGCCAGACAAATGTTAAAACCAGAGCGTGACGGCAAGGAATTGATAGAACGAATTGATAAGAGGATCACAGCTCTCAGCTATCACATCCAGAAATACTATTGGCTTGATTTTACACAGTTAAATAACATATACCGTTATAAGACTGAGGAGTACTCCCACACAGCTGTTAACAAGTTTAATGTCATCCCGGATTCTATCCCCGACTGGGTTTTTGATTTCATGCCCTTGAGAGGAGGATATTTGATTGGCAATGTTAGCCCAGCTCGCATGGACTTCCGGTGGTTCTTAGTAGGGAACTGCATTGCCATTTTGAGTTCTCTTGCCACGCCTGCGCAGGCAACAGCCATTATGGATTTGATTGAGGAGCGCTGGGAGGACTTGATAGGAGAGATGCCTTTGAAGATCTCTTACCCAGCCTTGGAGGGACATGAATGGAGGATTGGCACTGGATATGATCCAAAGAACACACGCTGGAGTTACCATAACGGTGGATCTTGGCCAGGTAAGTGTCATGAACACACAACTCGTATTGTGATATTCCTACTTTGTTTATTTTATTAGCTACTAATGAATATATGACGCTTTTACCTGTGTTTCTGAAATTTAGCGCCTTTTTCTTTTTTGTGCTTATGTTTAATGCTTTGTATTTTGTATTCATTCAGTCAGTTTCCCGATTAAAACTCAGTCTATGTTGTCAATCATGTTAACCGCGGTGATCCCTTTTTTTTTTCCCTTAACGTGTGACCGTATGGTTTCTTTTTGTAGTTCTCTTGTGGCTACTTGCTGCAGCATCCATTAAGACCGGAAGGCCTCAAATTGCAAAACGAGCAATAGAACTGGTGGAACAGCGGCTCTCTAAAGATGGTTGGCCTGAGTACTATGATGGTAAGACTGGACGTTATGTTGGGAAGCAGGCAAGAAAATATCAGACATGGAGCATTGCTGGGTATTTGGTTGCAAAAATGATGGTTGAGAACCCTTCCAATCTTCTCATGATTTCTCTTGAGGAGGACAAGAAGATAGCCAAGCCAAAGCTCACCCGCTCAGCCTCATTTTAAGAACGTGAATGCATGGCAAAGCCAGAGATTACAAACAGCTAGGTGAATACATTTGCAGTAGCTGGAATGTGCTTACTGTGACATATTAATCAATGATAGATCGGACTTTAATTAGGTATCAGAATTTTTTTCTTCCTATTTGATAATTACTTACAAAGACTCCGTCTTGGTGACAATTGAGCTATAATTCAATGATATATGATCTGAACAATACTTTTTTATATCCTGATTTTGGTTTATACATGGAAATTAGTTGTTCTACCCAATTTATGAATGGGCATGTTGCCTTGTGTGTTAGGAACTATTTTGTATGAGAAAATAGCTGTAGTAGATAGGGCTGTCAGTCGAGCCGAACCGCTTGCAAGTCGGCTCGGCTCGACTTGTTAAATACTCGAACTCGGCTTGAATTCTACTTGAGTAAGTTATCGAGCCGAGTTCGAGTCTACCCCGACTCGGCTCGATTCGGTTCGCGAGCCAATAGTGGCTCGTTTAGGGTTTTTTTGTGCATAACAGAAGTTTTTGGGTTTCCTTGTAATTTGACATGTAAAAGACTAAAAGGTTTAAAAAATTACAAATTATCCCTTAACCAAATAACCCCAGTTAACCCAAAATCAAATCGCTTAAATTCATTCTCCCCCAAATCAAGAACCCTAAAACAAGAAACCCCAAAAATAATTTCCTGATTATCACACCAAACCACCCATAAACACAGAAACCATTAGAGATTCAACTTTCGAAAGTTTGAGTTCTATGCCGTTTTGATGATAATTTTGATGGACATTTTTGTTTTTTTGTCTTGGATTGTATAATTTGTTGTGTAATACGTTGTTTATGTTGATTTGGATGTGATTTATGTTGATTTAGATGCAAATTTATCAAAAATTGTATCTGATTTGTGTAAAGCAAGATCTGTAAGTTATATTAAAAAAGGGCTAAACGAGCCGTAATCGAACCATAATCGAGTCAATTTGAGCTCGCGTTAAACGAGCCGACACGAGCCGAATTTTCTTGACTTGGTCGACTTGTGATTCGACTCGAACTCGTCTGATGCTTAACTGAGCCAAGCTCGTTTAGGATGATACTTAGCTCGACTCGACTAGTTTACACCCCTAATAGTAGATTATTAGATAGTCACAGATGAGACATGTAATGTTACCATAATACATTAACGTAAGAAGTTTGTTCATTATTTTCTAGTAATTTTAATATTTTAAATAATTTTTTTAACTAGAAACAATCATACGAGTTAAATATAATATTCACTTAATTAACATTTTATTGGTGTTATTTGAAACATACTTGGGAAATTGTGTTTTGATTTTGTAAATTAAATTAGGTTAGAGAAGAAATAAGTATATTTTGGTTTAAAGATGGGTATATAGGTTTTTTTTCTTGTAAAAAAATAGGCTATAAAGATTTAAATTTGACGTGTTTAGTTTATTTTGGGTTAAGATTATGAAGATAAGTTTTATGTGTGATACGAAGTAATTGTGAAAACAATAAAGCATATACTTATAACTTTTTCATATAACTTTTTTATACAATATTGATGTGACAGTTTATGATTGACTAATTTATATTTAGATAAATGAGACCCAGTTAACCAATCACGAACTATCATATTAGAATTGTATAAAAATGTTATAAATGTAGTGTTGTTTCAGTGAAAAGAGAGAAGGAGAAGAGAAAAGAAGAGAGGGAAGTGAAAGTAAAGGGGTAAGATCGTTTTGCTTAGAGATTCAATTTGAAAGGATTTGTTTTAAATTTGATTCTTAAAAATAGACATTTGGATAACAAATAAGTAAAAACATGTTAATAAGATAAACCTTTTGTAATATAAATGACACGTGTTAACATTTTCCAATATAAAATACGGCATAGTTATACTTTTTTTAATAGCTCTTCTGCCAAACGGAGGCATACAAAAACAACAACGGTCCGTTACATAGTAGTAGTAACTAGTGACAAACAAAAAGAACCAAGGTTCCGTTTGTCCTCTCCCTGTGATACTCATCATCATCATCATCAATATGAGTCAAATCTCACCCAACAATATGTCAATCAATCAACCAATGGACAATAATTGCAGCTTCATGTCATGTGATAAATTGGATCGCATGGCCAACTGGGTGGGCACCAACGTCGCCATCGCTTTCTTTGCCTCGCTGGAACGCTGCTCCTGCATCAACCTCAGCACCACCGATCTCGAAGACGAGGAAGAGGCCAAGGATCGACCACTTATGTTGGCCAGACCCACCGGCCAAGACGGCCTGGAGCCCACCGTCGCCTCCGATGTCAATAAGCTTCAAGTTTGATCATATTTTACTCTTCTAGGGTTCGTTATGTATGGTTTCTTTTTATATAATTATTTGTGTTTTTTCTTTTCTTGTTTTGGTAAGAATCTGTGTATCAACGCATGTAGCTTCTTGTAGAAACTTGCGCCTCATCAACTTGCTTCTATTTACTAATCGAATGGTAAATAAATATGGTTATACATGAAAATTCTAACTTACTTATGTCATTGTGAGGTTATCTATTTAAAAACTAAATGGGTTAAGTCTGAATTTCCATCTTCATTTATTTTCTCTAATTCAATTGAGCTTTTCTAAAATTCTTTATGGTGGGGAAAATTTCGTCCATCTGCAAGTTTGAATTGTATTTAAGTTCTTCTTTGGTCACATTTACAATTTGCTGACTTAGATTTTTAGATTAAAAACGAAATAGTTTTGTACATTGTTTTGGTCTGAATTTGAATAGCATTTCATCTAAAATTTACTATCACGTCGTGTTGTTTTACTTAAGGAATTGGATGCTTATGAACAGTCAGTAATAGCTAGAATATTGAGTCAGCAGAGTACAATGAGATGTAGACTGAATATTCAGTTTGGTCTATGTCAGGAAAATTCATGGAGATTGATTTTTGTTTGTTTTGATCTCCTTCCAACACAATGATTAGATGTTCTGATTTACCTGTAGTGAGCCTTGCTGTTGTGATAGTTTTTATGTGAGGCAAACTAAGACCAGTTTAAGGTAGAGTAGTAGTTCTAATTGGAGTTTTAAAACAATTTGTGTTTGAAGGGTGCTTTTCCCTTTGGTCACAACATCATATATTGTTTTCTGAAATACTAAAATATTGCTTGACAAAGTATTTAGCTGCTTGATGAGCATTTAGGTTAATTGGAGAGTTGATAGGGCTTTTCATTCACCTCCATCAGCAGTGAGAGAGAACTGAATACAGAGCATCCCTTCTTAAAGTTTAAGGATTTTATATCAGTGACTTCAGACTTCAGAGGTTAAAAGGAAACAGCAGTTACATAGATTGAACTTGCGGAGCCAATTACTGGCTGTCTTGGTGGAATTTTAAGGTACTTGTTCATTCTTCAAAAATTTTTTTTTAACCAGACAATCAAATTCTAATATTTCTTTGCTGTACAAGTATATAAGAGAAATGAATGATTGTTACCCTTCATGCACATCATTTGATTCCTTACCTGTTTTGTTTCCTCTGCAATGACTGTTAATAGTTGGTGATACAAAGGTTGTGTTTAGAAATTTGAATTTGGGATTGTTTCTTTGTTGTTGAGTTGGTTGGGAAATCTTAGTGCTAAAGGCTATCGATTAAGGTTTTATGAATTGATATTGTTCTTTCTCCTATTTGATGCAAAATGACGTGCTTGATTGCCACCAAAGTGATATATCTGCTCCAGCATACAGCAGTCTACTGAGAAATTTTTGGTATTCTCATTTATTATAGCATTTAGTGAGTTAATTCAGGGAACATTTGTAATATGGAGTAGGTTGCGAGATCTTGGTGAAAAAGACTAAGAGTGTGGTTCCGATATTGGATGCTATCATATTAATTTTGTTGGATAGCTAGATTTGACATTTTCAGTTGGCGACAAAATGAGGATTTTGCGGCTGCACACGACAAAATCTATCATTACTTCTTTAACCGTTAAGGAGTGACTTAATCTAAGGAATGTTTCCCAACTGGGAGTTGTCGGAAAATCTTGTTTGTAAAGAGTATGGAGTGAATTTATGCCAATGTCGTTTCCTTGTCTGGTTTAATGAGATGCAACATAGTTTTCTAATTGCTGCGAGAACAACATCCTTGCTGCAGCATACAACAAAATCTATTAATGTGACTTAATTTGTTGAAGACAGTGATCATTCTAATAGTTTGTGAGGCAGTTCAGATAATGTTCTCCACTTCTGGAGTTGTTTGGCAAATCTGGATGCTAAAATGTGTGGGTGACTTTCTATGCTGCCGAATTAAAACCTTTGCTGTAGCATCCAAAAAAATATATTTTTGCTTCTCTAATTATTAGTCCATGTTGCCTATGAAATTCATTGCAATTCTTTTTATCGAAATCCTAACATGACACGCTGCCACAAGTAGTTTTAAATTTCTCTGCTAGTATAAGATTTTTACCTTATCATATACATGCCATTAAATTGCAACTTCTGATGAGAAACAAAAGAAAGGAATAGTCGTAGGTGCGTTAGTTTTGTTTGAGGTTGAGCGTGCAGGCTTGTTCAAGTGAGTCAAGAAAGATGATTGTTCAAAGTAAATATAAATAACACCCCAGAAAGAGAGAAAGATGAAGTAAAACAGAAAATGCATAGATAGGCAGTACATAGATGGTCAGAGTTTGGATTACTTGCAACACTATGTTTACTGTTACCCTATTTTCTTCATAAAGCCTAATTTATATGGTCCCAGACTAAGGTAATTATATACCATACTGCATATCCATAAAAATTGATCACTCATCTTCATGATCTCTCCAGCAAAGCAGCATCAAAACACAACGCCTGATAATGTAGAGCCTAGCTCGTTTCTCCTCCAGAATCCTACTTCTTGAAACCTGTACTTTGTCAGTTCTCTGGGTTGAAAAACTCAAACATCTCATAGCCATGATATGAGTTTCTGTGTGTAACTGATATTGAAGAAGATAAAAGAGAGAAATATGGATTTCAAACACCTTTTTTCTGCTTGAGCTACTAGCCTAACAAATAAAAACATGATTCTTTTGATTATAAGATAAACTTTTAGTGCGAGGAGGTTACAATGGTTTGTTACAAAATTTTGTCTTGGTGTGTATACTGTATAGAGTTTCTTTAACTTTTTTGGCTTCATTGGGAGGTCCGAAAAAGTAATGGAATTCAGATACCTGCATTCAAATGCTGGGTTCTGCTTTGCTATAATGGACTGTCAATTTGTAAGGAGTTTCTATTTAGCTGTGTTGCATTTACATGCCAAATGGTTATGCAGAGTCCAGGAAATGAGACTGGTTGTATTTAATGCCTCTTCTGTTCTTTTTGCTAATTTTCTCATCTGCGAACTTAAGTAACTCATGGATTCTGTGGCTACACATTCTACTATTTTATTGGCTGCATGCTACAAGGTTTTGGCTTTACCTCCCGGAATTTGGCCAGATAAGGACAAGGTGGACCTTGGAAGGATAATATTTATGAATTAGAACAGTTTTATTCTTCAAAATTACTAACTCAATTAACAATTAAATACAAACACATCACCTCCTTACTATTATAATGGGTTTGTTATAAAGAAAGTTTATAGACAGCGTAACAGTAATCATTCTTTCACAACCATTGTTTACGAAACTCGCAGAAGGCAGAACCACTAAACACATTTCCTCGATCCTTGTAAGACCATATTTTTATTTTTTATTTTTTGGTTAGTAATTAGGATATTCAAACCAGTTTGCGTACATTTCAATTAATCTTGAAAGTCTATTAAATACTTTATAGTCTAAATAATCAGATAAATCACAATATTATTGTGATAAGTGACCTCAAAATTTAAACTCAAAAACTCAAGAAATTGAACAAACTTTATTAACTATCAAACCAATCCCTTAAGGTAAGACTATATTTGATTGTTATCGATAACCGTTGGCATTTTCTCTAACCTTACTGAATTCTTGATGTCTTTTTAATAGTAATTACTGAGCTAATTAAGCATCCTACGTGTACTGCTTTAAAGTTGAAATAGTGTTTGGTAAATAAACATTTAATTTTTAATTATATATATTTCTACATATTTTTTTTTTATCACCGAATTAGTTGACATCTTGCACACCGGATTAAAAAGCTGTCTTAATTGCAATGTCGATGCATAAATACTCTTAGAGTAATACTACACTTACAAAGAAATTTTACAAAGATCTTTCTTTGTAAGTATAGTATTATTGATACTCTTAAGGCACCATCTGGATCTAGAACCATTAAAGAATTAAAAGAGATAATTATTTATTTATGAAAAGAGACCATTAAAGAATTAGAATTAAAAGAGATATTTGGTGGAGTGCAGTTCACTCTTAAATTTTATTTATTCTTTTTCAAGTGTAATTATGCTGTAGCAGAAAAAGCTTAAGTTACATTATATGTTTAAGAAGTGGAGAGTCAACTCTTTTAGACCTAAACATTTTGTCCCTATAAGTGAAAGCTGACGATCCTAATTTTCAACTCCTATCCTATGCACTCTTTTATCAAAGATCTTGATGTTGATACATAAACTTATTACTATTTAACCAAACATTACATATACTCAACTTATATTTATTAAATAAGAGCAAAAAGGTCTATGTTTCGGTTAGAATGTTGTATTTATTTAATTAGTTTTCTTTGAATTGGAAGATATATAAATGGGTTGATTAATGTCTTCCGTTTACGTGGAGTTTTTAGGCCAACTGCTTCAATTTATGTAAATAAATCTTGATAAGGAGTACGTAGTGTAGGATTTAATTGATTAATAGAGAAATAATCATGTTTTTAATCAGCAAAGAAGATACTTTCACACGCAGGCCTGCAGCATGATACATAAGTTTTCAGTTGGACACAATCATCTATTCACTGAATTTTGGTCGACATTATGTATATTTTCTTCAAGTTTTTCAGTTTCCCTTTTTGTCAATTGGGTGGAATATTGTGCATGCAATTCTACACATTCCTTTATAACTATTTATTGTCTTACAGTTGTTTTTGTGCCTGCTTTGAGGAGCACCCTCTATGCAAATCAATCACTCTTAATTTACTTTGATTTTTTTTTTCCAAGGTTTTGAAACTTGAGAAACCTTCAGTTCATGCTCTTAATTTCAATTTAGATTAAGATGGGTATTCTGCGAATTGAAACACTAACTTGCAGAGTTTCTTACTTATATAATAGAAGCTTCTACTGCTATTTAAGTTGTTTATTTAAGGACAGTAAATATATATATGCAATAATCTCTCAAGATAAGTGGTTAATCAATCACATGGGAGTCTCAATCATCAATCATAATTTCATCACCCTAATCATAGAGCTTCAAGAGTGAAATGGGTAAAAATTGTTGACATTAATGATGAACAAACATTTGACAAATAATCTTACAAAGATAATAAAGAAATTGGTGTGAACAGGAGAGGGCCACAGTTACAGAGGCACAAGTATTAGGATGGCGTGCAGGAAGTTTGCTTATGATTGAGTAAAAGAAGTTAAGAAGATGTCTAAGAAAAGCATAACAAACAAGCCCACATTTTTGTTTGAGTGCTGCAAAGCTAAATGTCTTTTTTTACTTCTTTTTCTAGCATTTCATTGGCGGATGTCTGTCATGTAAAAACATTCCTTCTATTTGTGGTATCATTATTTGTAAGGCATCGATCGACTCAGACCTAGCAGAGTGGCTGGCTGTGCTATGGTTGGTGTGCTAGTGGGGTTTAGAGGATTTATTAGAGGTAAGTATATATATATAGATAGATAGGGCTATTTTCTCAGTCAAAAAGACATGATTTCCACAGCAAAATTGCTGACAAATTATGAACCATAAAGAAAATAAACCATCTTTTTATTCCTTTAAAAGATATAAAGAGAATTAGGCTAAACTTTCCCCACATTGGGTCACAATATACAATCACGCTTCCAACATCTTATTATCACGAAACCATGTTAGAGGAATCATGAAAGCTGACAAACATAATACAACTAGACAAACCCCCTTTCCCCCTCCCGACCTTAAAAAAATACATCCCTCACTCTCTATTAAAACCACCTTCTTCCCACTCTACTCTCCACTTCAACTCTTGTAATTAATCACTCTCTCTCTCTCTCTCTCTCTCTCTCTCTCTCTCTCTCAAAATGTCCAGCTTAACCAATACTTTATTCATTCTATGGTTAAGCTTGTTGTCCTGTGCCTGCACAGTACATGTTATGGCGATTTGGCCTGGAGGGAGATCAACTAGATTTTATGATTTCAAGGTCTCTTTTACTACTCTTATCATTTAATATTTGTATATTAACTGAATATGTTTCAACTTCTTTTTCTAATGACTTACAGTTTTGATCATGTCAATCAGATACAAACTATGAGAGTCACTAAACTGTGTAACTCCAATGAAATCGTCACAGTCAATAACATGTTCCCAGGCCCCGTAGTTTATGCACAAGAAGATGATAGAGTGATTGTCAAAGTTACTAATCAATCACCTTACAATGCTACAATTCATTGGTAAGCTATCAATATTTCGTCCATTAGATAAATCATTAATTAATTAATTAATGATCTTAAATTTGTTATTGGCCATTTATATATTTGCAGGCATGGAGTGAGGCAAAGACTCTCGTGCTGGTTTGATGGACCGTCTTACATTACCCAGTGCCCCATTCAACCAGGACAGACTTTCACATATGAGTTCACTTTGGTTCAACAGAAGGGCACGTTTTTTTGGCATGCTCATGTTTCATGGCTTCGGGGCACCGTTTATGGTGCTCTTATTGTGTATCCCAAGACTGGGGTCCCTTACCCTTTCAAGTACCCCCATGAAGAGCATATTATAATCCTTGGTAAAGCTGTGTAATGATTAATTAAAACTAATGCATGTAAATTGAATTTGTTCCGAATTCTTATATTTTGAAATGTGTCAGGTGAGTATTGGCTGCAGGACGTAGTACAACTTGAGCGGCAAGTTCTAGCTAGCGGAGGAGTTCCTCCACCGGCTAATGCATATACCATCAACGGCCACCCTGGTCCCAACTACAATTGCTCTGTCAATGGTAAATAATTAAGCAATTTTTTAATATAATTTATCGCTTTAACTTTTAGATTATTTAATTAATGCAATCATAATTTCAGATGTGTATAAGATTGACGTTGTCCCTGGGAAGACGTATCTATTAAGGCTAATAAACGCAGGCTTAAACATGGAGAACTTTTTCGCTATTGCTAATCACAAATTAACAATTGTGGAAGCTGATGCTGAGTACACAAAGCCATTCGTTACAGACCGTGTGATGCTTGGACCAGGACAGACCATGAACGTCCTCGTCACTGCTGATCAACCAACAGCAAAATATTCCATGGCTATGGGACCATACATGTCTGCACAGAACGTCTCATTTCAAAACATATCAGCAATTTCTTACTTCCAATACTTAGGAGCCATACCGAATAGTTTATCATTTCCAGCTAAATTACCAAACTTTAACGATAATCTTGCTGTTAAGACTGTCATGGATGGATTAAGAAGCTTAAATCCTGTTCAAGTTCCAAAAGAAATAGACAGTAACCTTTTTGTCACGATTGGATTGAATGTCCAAAAGTGCCAGTCCAAAACACCCCAACAAAATTGCCAAGGAGTTAATAATGGGGTTATGGCAGCTTCAATGAACAACATTAGTTTTATTAAGCCTAGTGTTTCAGTTTTGGAAGCTTATTATAAGAAAATTGATGGCCATTTCACAGAGGACTTCCCTGGTGCGCCCCTTAAATTCTATGACTTTGTCAATGGGGCTCCTAATAACATCCCTAATGACACACAGTCAATGAATGGGACTCGGACCAAGATCCTTGAATATGGAACTAGAGTGCAAATTATCTTGCAAGATACTGGGACCCTCACCACCGAAAACCATCCAATTCATCTTCATGGCTACAGCTTCTATGTTGTGGGTTATGGTACCGGCAACTATAATCCACAAACTGTAAATTTCAATCTGGTGGATCCCCCTTACATGAACACAATTGGAGTTCCTGTAGGCGGATGGGCTGCAATTCGGTTCACTGCAGACAATCCAGGTAATGTCTTTTTTTTTTTTTTTTTTTTTTTTCCTTTAATTGTTAAACAAGCATTGTTTCTGGATAATTATGTATGTATTGACTTGTTAGAATGTAAATATTACTACGTGATGATAAAGTTTATTTAAATGCAGGGGTTTGGTTTATGCATTGTCACTTCGATATACACCAGTCGTGGGGATTAGGTACAGTATTGATAGTGAAGAATGGGAAAGGAGAGCTGGAGACACTACCTCATCCGCCTGCAGACTTGCCCAAGTGTTAGAAATTTTTAATAAATTAAATCGCACAAAATGGGATGAATTTAGTGCAAGTGTGTAAAATCTATGGTTCATTTCTCTGACACCGTGAAATTGTGGGTGTAAAGAAGTAATGGTTGGGAAATTAATAAAACTGATAAACCATCTTTCCAATTTACTCATTTTAAATTATATAATGTTTTACGTAATGTGATTTCTACTATAAATAACGAATTGGGAAACTGATAAATTTATGTATAAAACACAGTGAGAGAACCAAAATGGTCATTATTGCCTATAACAATTCCAAAATCCAGAAAACAAACAACCCAATCACAAAATACAATCCCACATGCAGCTTAAGGGCCATTTACTTTTAGATGCTATTTTTGGGCAGACCAAATTTGAAAATATTATTGGAGTAGTAGGTAGTAGCAGTTGCGAACAGTGAAAAGGTTGTATTTTACAGCAAATAGCGATAGTTTTAAGTAATGTGAATGGCAGTGAAAGTGAGAAACAAAACAAAATTTGAAGCCCTATGCGTTATTGATGATAAACAAAGCAGCAACCATATCCAATCTTAACTTACACCAACGCACAAAAATTGTGAGAAGCATACTGATGTATGCAGCTAAACAATATAAACGAATAAAAATGCTTGGCTTTCTATGTTGCCAGGACTTGGCATCACCCTAAACCCCAAATACTGTATTCCATTAGAAATCCACATTTACCCATTAATCACAGACAAGTTAATGTCTAGTTAGTATTAATATTGATGATAATAATTCAGTTAATGCAGCAAGTGTAAATTTTACGCACAAATTTACAACATACCTTATCTGCAGCAGCCAGCAAATCAGAAAGTCAATAATAGAACTGACTCTGAGGTCACCCAGCCTTTGAAAGGCGGATAGGCCTCCTTCTTAGCCACACGTTGAGCATCACATGGACGTGGTACACCCAATAAAAAAAAAAAAAAAAAAAAAAAAAAAAGGTTGATGGAAGAGACTGTGAGACACTTTATCAAAAACATGGGGTACATGTTGAAAATCAGACATATCATCCATCTGGATTTTAAGATCCATTAGACCAGTGAAACGAATAGAATTTTAAACAAGCACCAACCCCCATAATCGCATGTTTCTGAGTGCTTACACGAATTAGAGTTGAAATTATATACTCACAATGACCTTAATTAAAATATTTAAATCTACTCCTAATATCATTATGTAGTACTTAGTAGTGTAGTACTTAATAGTGTAGTACAATTAACTTGAGAAGCACAATACCTCTTCACTTAGCGATTTAATCATATTCTAAACACTGTTATACTCAAATCTTTTAGCCGGATAAAAACTTTAGATTGTAATAAGATAGTGTTTTTAAAACAAATACTAACATATTGTTAAAATAAATCTACATATTATTAAAAATATGATTATAAATTACCTAAGAATGTCTCGATAATCAAATATTCCACAAGGAATCTTTCTTCAAAAGTTTGGGCAAATAAGACTAGGCAATGCTGTTTCATGCCCAGCTAACAGCCCAAATATCCGTATTCCACTGAAGGAAAATTTTCAACAACTAATAATTAAAATTGGCCAGGCTGGTACAACCACCTCTCAGAGAGAATTGTGAGTAGTGGTAGATGAGATACATATGAAAAGAATATAAGATTAGTCTTTTTATTTCCTGAAAGGCATGGCTGAATTTTCTTATTCTTTCCATAGAAAGGCCTCTTGCTCAAATGAGTATTCCATAACCTCAGTTTTGAAAGAAACTTACTTCCCCCAATACATTTCCTTCATTCTCCACTTTCCCGCAACACATTGTAATGGATACTCATTTAAGCAAGATGCTTTACATGGAAGGTTTACATACATTCACAACATTGATTTTCAGGACTTCACATCAATCAGGTAAGTAAGACTTTTGCCTGTTTGTGGTATTAATTTATTTAAGAAAATTTTATAAATCTTATCACTCTTATATTCCAGCAGGTAAAAGAAAAGAATCTGTAGCAGTTAGGGTGCATGAATGGATTTTTTATTAAAAAATATCAAATCAAATCCCTAATAATTCTATAAAAGTTTCAAGTTCAAGGTGGCAACAGATTTTCTCATTATTATTCTTACCAACACAAAATCAAGATTATGGGTTGACACTCTCTGAAGTCCAGCATTTCTCTCCATCATCACTTAGTCTAGATGTAAACATTAGCCTCTGATTACTCTTCAGATTCAAGTAATCAACCTGTGATATAAGATGCAAACTGTTAAAAGTTAAAGAGAGATACAAAAATGTCAAGACTTTTTTAAGGAAGAATTTTTTAACCTGATCTGGATCTAGAACCAGCAGGCAAAATGCATCAACTGGGCCAGTAGAAGAATCTAGAGAAAACTCCAGGGGTTGTTGCTCTAGACAGGGAAGACCTGGATTAGAGCCCAAGTACTGCAATCTTGATTTCACAGAACTCGCAGACCAAGATTTCTCTCTTATCTGCATCATGAAATTTAGAAGAAAAAAAATGAAACAAAATATGTAGATTGCCTTTAATAAGAGAGAGATAGATTGTTATTAAAGCATGATAGCAAAATCTATTAGGTAATGCATATAACAAAGTAATCTATTATGGAACTTAATTTTCATTAATATACAGCAGGGTGTAGGACTTTCCACTTAACGAAAACACCAACTAGAAATCATGATCTCATTGCAGGTTTCTTGTGAAGCTATTTGGCATTTGATAATGTAAATATATTCAAGCAGAGCAAACATACACACACAAACACACAGAAGGACTAAATTATTATAGTTTCCACATATCAGCCACCACGCTGTGCAACTATGATCTACAATTACAGGTAATTAACAGGAAAAAGAAACTAAGCACCCCACCCTAAGCTGACTACAAAGGTTTTGAATAATTCAAATTGAGATTTAGCATCTCAAGAAGAAGCAGCAGAAGAACCCCAATTGCTGGAGGTTATGGAAAATCACAAATAGCCTATTACTCATAAAGTTAGGTTTGCCACAACTCTAATAGTTGAACTTGGATGTCAATGCCCTCCACTTGCTTAAACCAAAAGTTTCAACCATCCGCTTGGAACGAACTTCATGCCATGAATGTTTTAAACTTCAACACAACTTGGGTTCTGATATAGAAGGGTAATTCAATCATGGAATCTTGGGGGTTTCTTTTTTTTTTTTTTTAAATGTTCTTCGCATGTAATCAATTATGAATTTCAAAGGAAAACTATCAGATTTCTAATGGAATTTTATACGTCAAACACCAACCAATTCATCCAAGTCAATCTCAAAATACAGCATCAAGTTGCAAAACTGAGCAACACTATGCTATAAACAAAAATAAAATGGGTACTCGTATGCACTTTAAATTAGGGGACAACACCCAGTATCACCTGTAGTTTGACAGGATCAGGATCCAACCCATCAATAATATCAATTCTTCCATTGATCCGAAATTGCTCCCAAGAGTCGGTAAAGTACCAACATATCTGAAACATCAAAATTTCATCTGAAAATAACCAAACATACTTGAGCACTTTTAAAGTTTTGAATTCATTATATCAAACAATCCGATATGTATACCTCAAACACTAATTACCTCGGCAAATGGACAATGCTTAAGCTCTTCAATCTGCAAATTTTAAGCCAAAACTCAACACACACAAGAGACTGCAATAAAAATAGGATAAATTAAATAAAAACGAAACCAAAATTACAGAACCTTGCGAGTACGTGTGTCAGTGTTGATTTGAATCTTGTCACTGTTTTCTTGAAATCCTCTGAAAACCCAACAACCACTGACGGCGTTAATTCCATTTCTGTTTCAAACGAATTTGGTTCAATTGAGAGAATACCTGAAAACGACGGTGCGATTCGAAGGTCTCCCATTTAATCCAATCGTTGCCTGAAACCCAAACTTAGCATAAAATCAACTATGAACCCAAAAAAAAAAAAAATAATAACTAATGATAAACGTACAAGCTGAAAGAAAGACGAGTGCTTGAGGTGGGAGTTGGACTCCATCGCGTGTAACAGAAGCAGCTTCCATGGCGCTGTTGCTGTTCCCATTCGCTTCTTTCTACAAATTTTGCCCGTACTAGTTCTTCCTACAAATTTTGCTTTGGCTGAGCCCGGCCCGGGTATCCCAGCGGGGCGGGTTGATTTTTGTTTAAAGAAAAAAAAACACCCATCCGATCCGGCCGGTTGGCCCGCGGCTGCCAACGGGCAACCCGGCGGGCCAACAGTTGGCGAAAAAAAGGAAAAATCAAAAACCAATTTTACCTTTCAAATACAATCATTGGAGGCTCTTTTTGGTCCTTTTCTTTTCTACCATTTTTCTGTATAAATAGGGCTTAAACTTTTTATATTTCCTCACATCCAAAATGTTTTCATTTTCTTCAATTCCTCTTGCTCTAAAAAAATTTCAAATCTTAGCTGTAAATTTGCTTTCATTTTAATTTTTATCACTTTTTGCAATTTTCAATTCATATTTTCAAATTCCAATTCTTCTTTTTTAATTCTTTTATATCCTTTTTTTTTTTTTTTTTTTTATAACTAGAATAGGTAGATATTTCCATAATCCCACCATCAATTTCGATGATGAAGAAAATTATCCTAGTTCCATTAAATTTACTAACACAAACGTAGTAGATTCAAATAGTCTCGCTTTCCCATTCTCAGAATCTGATACATCTCATAATATTTCCCTCCTTCCTCCCCATGCTGCTACAACTCCCAGTGGTTCTAAAGGTCATTCTTATAATCATCGTCCTCGTCCAACTCCATATGCAGTAAAAGTGGGTTCATCAACTGCAGCTACTGAAACCGATGACAGGCACACATCAGATGTTTGGATGCATTTAGTAAAGTTTTGCGAGATAGAAAATAGAGTTCAAATGAAGAAAGCAAGATGCAAGTATTGTGAAAATATTTATAAAACTGATGCAAGTAATGGTACTAATACTTTAAAAAAACATGCAGATAAACATATAAATCATCATTGATATAGACAAACCAATCAAACTCAAATAACTAGTACGGGTAATACTTGGCGTTATAATTATGATGTATATAGGAAACAATTAACTTTATATATTACTGCAACTGATCCCTATTAATATGG